GCTGGTCAAAAAAAAAAGAAAAACAAAGAATTACCAAAAACAAAAAGTCATTTTAGTCACACAGGCTGGTCAAAAAAAAAAGAAAAACAAAGAATTACCAAAAACAAAAAGTCATTTTAGTCACACAGGCTGGTCAAAAAAAAAAGAAAAACAAAGAATTACCAAAAACAAAAGTCATTTTAGTCACACAGGCTGGTCAAAAAAAGAAAAACAAAGATCTCCCATACTGTATAATAACTCCCTCAAACTCAAAAAAATAAAATGAGAAACAAATGAGTTTCAGTCTAGACAATCTGTTTGACAACACAGCTAAGTAGGAGTACCAAATTAAGCCCATACATACAAGAAACAAGACCTTCTTAGAGTTTTAGTATAAAGAATCTTGTAGTTCTGTTTTTCATATTCATACACTGTCATTAAGTCTTGGTTTTCCATAATTGAATAACTCAACCAATTAAATAAAAAAAACTCCATAATTCTCTTTAAAATAAAAGGCATCTGTTAATGATAAACATATGTACATGACTAAAAAACCTACACAGAACTATACTGATATTTTTTTTATAATAACAAATGTCAAAGATTGATTAGACACCAAACAACTGTTCATCATGTATACTACAAACATAACTGTTAGATAGCATAACTTAAGAATAAACTATACATTATTTGAATGAGTTTGTTGTGAAATCCTTTATCCAAATTTTAAACTCTCTTTGTCACAAATACTTGGATTTTTCTTTCCTTACAAATTTAAAGTATTTGTCTGGAAAATGTTATAGCATCGTAAAATAAGAAGACTGTCCAACAAAGCTTTTAATACGTCATTTAGAGTAGACACCAATTACAAAAATATTAAATTTTTTATAATTATTATACTTCATTACAATTAACCAGTTCTTCAGGTAAAATAAATAATAAATTAATAATGAATAATTTGATACTAATGAAAAACATAAACCTAATTTGGATGTGTAATGACTTGAAATGGAACTGATGAAAGTTACAATTTATCAATTTAATTTAGTTCAAACTGAAACAGTTGTTGTTCAAGTAAGTGATAATATAAAAAGCATCTTGACCATTACTATATCTGTCCTATTTCAGCTGTCTTGATGAACCCTGGTGCTTGTCAAAAAGCCTTGTTGCAGCTAGATATAACGGATATAGCATGGTTGACATATCATTACATTCTTCTTTACTTTCACTTATTATTTATATGATAATAAAAGATAAAAAGTATACTTAATAATAATGAACTTGTGAAAGGTTACTTCAATACATTATCTATACTATCTCATATATTAGAGTTTATTATTGTCTTGTGTTGATATCTGTCTTTTGAAGTTTAACACATACCAGAGCTAGGAGCTGAAGCAAAGTTAGCTGTTGCATGTCAACACTTCTATCACCATTAGATCTGTTAGGACTAAAGTCTATTGAAGTAGTAGCTTCTGTCAACTCTTTCTGCTCGCTTCCACATAAAGCACTGCGAGTAATTTCTTTCCATCTTCTCTTCAAGTCTTTTTTGTTTTTATTCAAGTTTTCTTGCTTGTGCTGAAGGATTTTGGTAAGTTCTACTGCTTTAGCATCCCCATTAGCCGCAGCCTAGGTTTGAACAAAGAAAATTAAGATCAAATATAAAGTGCATGGCAATGAGTAAAAGTACTACGCAAGTTACTGCCTTAATTTACACAGTATACATACCTTAAGTATATCGTATTCTTAGCTGAAGCTGATTTCACCCCGTGAGTGAGAAGATAAATCTGTGGAATAATAGTACGGTTCGAACAATATGTTTATTACAGAGTAGTTTTGAATTTCTCTGAAACTAACTGGGTTCCTGAAAAGGTAGTAAAGAGAGTGGAAACAATGAAAAATCGTTATTGCTTGCGTACACAAATACAGCATTAATACTTGCTTTGGATGCTGGACAGTCACTTACACTGGATCGGAGCTGTTATTTGTTCATACTGCCCTCAGTGATAAGTTCTACCAGACTGACTATCTAATGAATGCTGGGTAACCTAACATTCCCTACTTAACTTAGTTATGTCTAACTTACACACAGCAACTACTACTACCCATATTCCAACATAAGGGAGATTGTAGCCTCGAAGCATTAACTAAGTAGAACAAAAACAACTTAATGACTTTCTTATGCAAAAATTGCACTTACCGGAATAACTGAAACATTCCAAAAAAATACTGTATTAAAATACAAAAGATAGAAAATACATCGTATAATAGAAAATGGGTAAGAGCAAGGATCTCTCTAATCTTCAAAGGGATACGACTGTTAGTACCTATCTAGGAGTGTCATGATCAATTATTACATCTTTAACTGACTGTTCTAAAACATCTGTCAGAGTCTATGATGATAAACTATGGCCGTCAACTATTGTTAAATGGTACGTAGGTTGGCATCTGTTGCATAATTAGAAGACTTACAATAATCTTCAAAGGGTATATAACATCCATGATGTTCCTGATCATGTGCATTTTACAAAGTTATATTTTTCAATCTGACTAACTAGTCCTCTTTCATAACAATAATTTAACAATGTACGTTTACAATACATTGCATACAATTAGTTAAAATACCATGATTCATGAATGTAGTGGAGAGGAGAATCCAACAACTACCACACTATCCAATATTATAAAAAGTCTGAAAGATCCACCATTTTCTGAATTTATTTGAAAACAAATTACCCAAGATGTTTAAAACACAGCAGCTTATTACTGTACGATAAGCTAAGCTCCTATTTGTTTTTGCTCACTTAACTTTTGAATATGTTAATTTTACAAGTTTTATTAAGACTAATTTAAATTCTGTGTGTGTAGAAGTTTCACATGTTTTTTTGTGGAAAAAAGACCCCCCCCCCCCATCATCACTCTACAGTGTTGGATATACCCCTGCATGACCTCCATACTTCACTTAGCCAGCACTTATCACCAGATCTCCAAATAACTTTCTTTTGAGGAACTGGAATTTGCAACCAAAACAGAACTGTGTAGTTTACAACACACAGATTCCAGACTCAGTGTTATTAAATGAATAAGTGGTCCAACTGGATATAAGGTGGGGTTCTAATAAAATAGCCAATCAGTGCACTTGCCCTTCTTATCACAAAGCTATATTAACTAGCCTAAATTCATAGTATTTAAACCACTGCTAACGTTTTCCCAAAAGCAGTAGTTCAAAATTTGTCCATTTCCTTTCCAAGTAGAAAACAAAAATTTGTTGAAAACAGAAATCATCTTTTTTTTTGTACATAAGAAACATAAACACAAATATAAAATAATTTTCACTTCTTTTTTGTAATCCACAACCAAACAGTTTCTGCGTTTTTGAATATGGTGAGAAAAGACAACTTTAAACTGTTATTTTTGGTTTTCATCCTGATATTTTGACAACACTTCTATTTGGACTCTCAAACAGTACAGTTTATGTTTTTTATACATCAATGTAGAATACATTGCATGTTACTATACTGTGGGCTGACCTGTATAAACTTGTTTTAAAGCTATTTACCATAAGTATTACACATATTTTTATGTACTGGTCTGCTAAAGATGCCCTAACACACAGTGCTGTGATAGACATAGACCTTCCAGTCACATGGTACTAATCCCTACGAGTTTAATCTGAAGAATATACCATTTTACATTAACTTATGATAAAAACATGCAACTTACTACGGTAAGAATTAACACTGTAATTAATTAATATAACTAATCTTATTTACAAAGATTAGAATGCATTCATTCATTCATTGCGTATGTCATTTGAGTATCCTATCTCTTAATAATATTGTTGGCTTTAATCCCATTAATATCTCACAAAGTTCAGCCAGCTTAAGAGATTGATGTTAGTCCTAAATTCACATAATAAACTAAGAATGAAAAATAATCCCCATAATAAAAGACATCTAAAAGGAAGGACTCAGTTAAAAAAACAGGTCTTGTACAATCATCAAGGTCCACATGTAGGTTTAGTGGGCAAAATTAGATACCAGGAGAGTTGTAGAAGCTTTCGAAGTAGTCTTGGGTTAGGTCACCAAAAGGTAGAGATATTTTACATGAATTTATTTTTCAAAATATTCAGTTCTGAATATCATAAATATTGCACTGCATTCTAGTTTGCATGACACTCTGATAAAACTATATAACTTATCCTCTTTCACGTGACCAGTACTTTGTCATGTGTAAACTACGAGGTTTATTACAGTTCCATATTACACGAGTTATTTTCCTTTCTTCATCAAATATGGGTTAAATACGAGTTTTGTGACAAAGCCAAAAATTAGAAGCTCTGTGGCAAAACACAATTATTTCTTGGAAATATTAAGAACTGTTTATTTTGACGTTTATCATTACCAGGAACAATATGTCGAAATAAAATTATCTTTGTATTTGATTTTTTAAAAGGATCAAAAATTGGTTCTTTCCAATAAATCTTGTTTTAACATCAATGGAAAGAAGTCTAAATTTATTTTGTATAATAAACAAAAGTTTCAATTAGTAAAATAATAGATATTTTTTACTCATATATATATATAAATCACTTACCGATAACAAAGTTAAAATATATGCTTTCGCTGTTACAGCAACTTGTCGAAAATCTAAAATCCACGTATGGATTCGGACTTCTTCCGTCATTTTTAAATGTTGTCGAACGTAAGGACAATTTTTCGTTCTGGACCAAAAAAAAAGCTATAATTTCTTTCTTTTTCTTTATGAAATATAAATTGTTTCAAGGCCTTGATTGTTGTGGTGGGTATGAACTCAAAGCGGTTCATGAGAATCATAGAACAGTGTTCCATACATTACACGAGACCGTTCTGAATTTGGGCTAATGTTTCTTTTCATGCAGGCCGTCCGTGTTTGGTGTTTGTAACAAAAAAAAACACACTTCAGGTTAAAGGACATGAATTAATGAAATCTGACTAATCACCAAAATAGTCTTACATGAATAATAGCGAAAAAGGAAAGTCACGATCTTCTTAAATTATACACTGACTTCCGGTAGCGTCAAAGAACTGTTTTATCCAAGATCCGTTAACAAAACAATGGAGGATCACGTGACGAGGGTTTGTCTCTTTGTTTGTATGTATATCGTTCCACGAGCTCACCCTTATTACTTTACTTCCAGTAGTTTCAACAATATACGCTCTAATCGCAGATCGTGTTAAAGCCTATAACATGCACTTTATATATGTATTACAGACAATGACGGGTCAAAGGGCACAAGCCATAATCTAAACGATTGTTTGCAAACTTATCACGCTTGGACAACTTTCCATTAGATAAACATGAGTATAACAAAAAATTCCATTGAACTAAACCATGATATTTATATGTAGTCTGTTACAACTACTCACCCACCCACCCCCGTGGCTCAACGGTAAGTCTGGGGGCATATGACGCTAAAAACTGGGTTTCGATACCCATGACCCATTTGAGTTTAACAAAAAATTCCATTGAACTAAACCATGATATTTATATGTAGTCTGTTACAACTACTCAACCACCCACCCCCGTGGCTCAACGGTAAGCCTGGGGGCATATGACGCTAAAAACTGGGTTTCGATACCCATGACCCATTTGAGTTTAACAAAAAATCAAAACCCCTACCTTATAGATAAGGAACACTAATAATAAGAACCTACAAACTGTCGTTCCTTCTTCTATGTACTCCAAGCAATATTACCTAATTTCTACATATTTCACATAACAATAAAAAAAAAGGTGTTGTCCTAAAAATGCAGGAATTGTTAGACGTTGAAGTCCATTGTTTCAACCACCAGCAGCTGCGTCTGTCGGAAACAAAGGAGGAACAACAATGTACATATCCGATACGATTGTTATCAAAGTTTCTCTTCCTGTCGATAAAAACCCGAACTACCTTAAATAACACGGATTTAATACATCAATAAGTCGTAGCGTTTTATTAGTAAAGTAGAGGCGTGCGTGTTTGTGTGTGAGATTGGTCAGCTGAACTCTGTCCGTACTACTACAAAGAAGATATTCAAACAGTATGCCATTAACAGTTGATTGATTCGCTTGGACTCCGGATTTGTTAAAACTGCGTATAAAGTCACTTACGTCAAAAGCTAAAAACAGTCCACACAGAAGTAATGTTTGATTTGATGTTAAACAAATTTCCTGCATTACAAGTATCTGACTCGCTCATCGTGAAGAAGTAAGAATTGGCAGTTTTCCAACATCGTGCACGTGTCCCGTTATGTTTTTCATTAATTTTGAAAGTAAGACATTGGTGTCAATCAAGGAAGGTCTGCGGAGTTATAACGCTAGAAACCAGGTTTCGATGCTCGTGGAGGGCATAGCACAAACAGCCCATTGTGTAGCTTTGCACTAAACTACAAACAAACAAGAAAGGTGGAATTCGAATTCCAAAAGTAAAGAAGACACCCCATATAGCCCTACTCCTGTTGTTGTTCTCTCCTCCCCCTTAATTCACCTCGAAGGGGAGGGGAGGACCCCAATTATAACACCATGCTAATACTTGCATACGAAAGCAAATGTTTTCAAATAAAGGTTTTTTTAATCTTTTTCTATTCAAACAGAACATCTATATTAAC